TCACCTCATGGATCTTATCTGCGATACACTGTGGTTCAATACACCATGCCCAAGCTTTGGCCTCAGACAGACATGGTTCAAATCTTGGCTCCAGCTATTACTAGCTGTGTAACTTTGAACAATTCACCGCTGAGACTCTCAATTTTCCCATTTATAAGATGAAAATAAAAGCAACAAAATTTTAGTTTTGTGGCTGTAATAAGAGAATATGTGTAAAAGACTGACCTCACATGCACAACTGCTATTTTCCAGTTCAGCTGCCTCCCAGTTTTGCTGTATATTCAGCTCTCAACTCAGCTCACAGTCTGTCCTCAATAAATGGTAGCTATTATTTACTGTAGTATTGCACTCCTCATCCAAACCAGCTCTATCCCCTGATCTCACCCCCGCTAGTTAGTGGGTTCACTGACCCCATCTCCTCAATAACTATGGCATCTCAGAGCACTCTCCACAGCCAGCCAGTGCTCCCGTCCTTCTCCAGTTGGACCCCTGGTCCCTCTGTGGCTGGTCCATCAGTGCCTGCTAATATTGAGACCAATTCTATACAAGTCTAGACTAGAAGTTACAGAACTTGCTCTAAAATGACACTACAGCATGTGCTCATACACACACCTTCCAGAAAGATTTGTGCAAAGGTTCACTTTTAATCAGTTTCAGAAAAACTTTTCACTAAGAAATTCTAAACTACCTTCCCAGGACTTTCAGAAAGCATAAAATAAAGTGAAGAAATTCCAGGCCAGAAAGCAGATCTGAAAAACAGCCTAAATTTCATTTAATCCAGGGCAAAGTTTCTAAAACCACATGTTTATTGGTTGGTGCTTTAAGAGCAACACATCCAATTATGCATGTGTCTGAGAAGTTTCAGCATCCTACCAGGCCCACCCTCCACCCTTTGCATCTGATGTTACTTCTCAAATTGAGAGTCATGAGTACAAAAATGAAATCAGTTTCGAATGGATGGCTGTGATGATGGTAGCTACAATGGTAGGTGGCTGTGTTATAAGGGTAGAAAAGATATTGTCCAGTTGTCATCACACAGCCCCGCATCTTGCTAGTTCGGGCCACACACACCTTTTAAGTTGGGGGTACTGCCATCATCCACTCAACTCTAAAAGCAATTTGCACCATATGGATTCAAATTTCCATTGCACCTATTATGACCAAGAAGCCCATGCTGGATATTAGATCCACACAATGAGAATAAGCTCCTGCACTGGTGTCCTCAGCAGCTATTCCCAGGACCCACTGGAGGCTCAGCCAAATCCTTCTGAATTTAGTACGTTCATCTTGCCCAGCTTTAGACTCGGGGTGGGATAAGGGGGATGACTTACAACTATAACCAAGGATCAAGCCACAGCAAAGTAGATATGGCGAGTGGAAATAAGGAAGCTGGTCCCAACTGGGTCAATGAGGATCAGGATCCAAGGTAAAAGCTAGCAATGGCAATGACTGCACATGTCAAGCTTTCATAACCGTGGCATGGAACCAAGACGGAACGATTCTGGCCCTTTCAAAGCCATGAGGAGCTGAGATAGGTGTATGAAGACAGGGACTGGATAGATATCAAATATGATTCAGGTAAAGGGAAAGTGGCCTAGAGCTGCGTAGAGACGGGTAGAGATACTACACAAACAGGACAAGGTTAAGACTTGGGTAGCTTTGGTCGGGGAGCAATGTTAGGGATAAAGACTAAAACAGAATATGAGATACCTTATCTGCAACATGAAATACTAGAAGACAACAAAGATGGTCTCCAGTTTCTTAGAAAAAAGCTCTTTAAAACCAGAATTCTATGCCCAGCAGTGATCATTGAAGTGTGTGGACAAAAATAAAGACATTTCATTTAGGGGCATGTAAGGTAAAAGCATCAGACATATGCTGTCGCTTTACCAGACATGATAAATAATGCACAACTAATGCAAAATATCAATTTCATTCTGTCTCTAGTTACTGGAGACTATACCACATGCATTATCTTATCTACAAATGAAGGTAATACTTCTACCAAAGCCATTGCTAGAGACTGAATTAAATTTCCTTGGAAGTAATATACATGTCGCATGTTTATCTACCTCTGCCTTTTCTATTTTCCATCTTAAGTATTTTTAAAATGTAAAAGCAATTTAATTTGCGGCTTCCTTTCTAACCAATCTAATCAATCAAGCCAAGTGTAAAATGGCAAAAATCTGTTTTCACTTTGCCATTTTCCCAAACACACAAAACTTAAGAGCTCTTTGATCTTAATTAAGATGACATAGCACCGAGGAGACTGAACCACCTCTCTTTTATTATACTGGTCTACTTCCTGCAATATTGTTTAATTAGGAACGAGAGACAAAGTGATGTATTTATATCAGTACTCACTGAAATACTAATTGAATGTTTTACTAACCCAACAACTACATGCACATAATCCAATGGGGTCAATTATTCTCATATAGTTACTGTTTCATAAGAAACAAGTTTGTACAAAAATGTCATTGAACTCCAAAAGGTACACAAAAGTACACCAGCATTTCTCAGTTATTACTTGTAGCAATAATATGTATCTGCTCGAAATGTCTCAGAGAACAGAAGGAATTGGAATTTATTTTCATGATCACCACACCTTACATAATGTTCATTCATCAATAAATAATCACTGGACACCTGTGTACCAGGCACTAAGAAAGCCAAGCTTATCTATAGAAATGTTCAGAAGAGTCACAAGGATAATTCAAAACAACAAATTCCTAAAAAACTAAAAGCCATCTATTTTTGTCTTTGATAATAAGGTTTTTCTTCTTGTGGAATTATATTTAAATACCAGAACATGTGATATCCTGCTGATAACCAGCACTTAAAAAAACTAGATCATTAAACTTCCAAATGGATTCTGAGCAGTTTGGGATGCTATGAGCACAAGTTCAGACATCATAAAGAGACACCTAATTTGTGTTGTTAAATCTCATGCTTGTATGATAACAGATTAGTAAAAGCCCCATGATGTTTTATTGAGCAATCAACAGAGAATTCATGACCTAAAGCCAGCAAGAATGACATTTCTTCTGCTTTCTTTGGCTGACATTTATTTTACTCTAAGAGTTTTATGGTTAACCCTTCTTATATGTTGTTGATCCATTTTGAGTTAATTTTCCTATATATGGTATGAGGACTATTGTCCCATCTGTTGAAGACACTATTCTTTTCCCACTGGATTTGATAACCTTGTCAAAATCAATTAGCTATAGATATATAGGTATATTTCTGATCCATCGATTCTATCCCATTGGTCTATATTTCTATCCTTATGCCAATATCACACTATTCTGATTACTACAGCTTTGTAGTAAGTTTTGAAATCAGGAAGTCTGAGTTCTCCAACTTTGTGGCTTTTCAAAATTGTCTAGGCTTCTCAGGGCCTCTGCTAATTCCAAATGAATTTCAGGATCAGCTTCTTCATTTCTGTAAAAAAGGCTTTTGGTATTTTCACATGGTATTTTGATGGGAATGGCTCAGGGGAATATTAACATGTTAGCAATATTAAGTCTTCCTACCCATGAACACAGAACATATTTCCATTTACTTAGGTTTTCTTAATTTTCTTTCAGCACTGTTTTATAGTTTCTAGTGTACAAGTTGTTCACCTCCTTGGTTAAACTTATTTCTAGGTACTTTATTCTTTTATATGCTGTTGTAAAAGGAACTGCTTTCTTTTTATTTATTTTTTTTAAGATTTTATTGGGGAATCGGGGAAGGGGAACAGACAAGTTGCTGTCCTTTTGTTCTTCAGTCTAGGTGCGGAGGACGTCGCTTCACTGGCCCATGATGGTATTATCATTGCGCTGTTCCAGGCTGAGGCAGATCAGTAGTCAGCTATTGGATGGCCGCTCACAGCAGCTCATGCTGGCTGCTGGCCACTCATGCTGGCTGCTGGCCACCCACGGTAGCTCATGGCAGCCCACTGCAGTCCTACTATGCCATCACCAGCAACTCACGGCAGCCCAGCTCCAGGTAGAGCTGTTGTTCACCATCTTAGCTGTAGAGGGGGCAGTGTCACTGGCCCTCATATGTGGGATCCGAACCAGGGCCCTCTGGCATCCCAAGCCAGTTCTTAACCTTCGCGCCACTCGGCTGGCCCACAAGCCAACTCTTAACCAACGAGCCACTCAGTGGGCCCTGAAATTGCTTTCTTAATTTTTTTCAGATTATTCATTGCTTGTGTATAGAAATACAACTGACTTTTTCACCTTGCAAGTTTACCAAATTTGTTTATTAGATCTAGCTGTTTTCTTGTGGATTCCTTGGGATTTTCTATAAACAGGACCATGTCTACAAAGAGACATAGTCTTACCTCTTCCTATGAACTCTAGTCCCGGTGGCCTCAGACTCCCAGCCCCATCTTCTCAACTCAGGAAGCCTGGCAGCCTCCACCTGGGTTCCCCCTTCCACCACAGCCTAGAAAGCCTTTCCAGATGGTAAACTGGGGCAATCATAGGGTTTATCTTATTTGTATCTCATCTCTCAGAGATCACTCACTATACTTTCATTACCTGATATCCAATGTCTTAAAAACCACTGCCTAATATATTTTGTCTCATTTATTGTTTCAGACAGTGTGGTGGTTACTTTTATGTGTCAACTTGACTGGGCCACAGGGTACCCAGATAGTTCATCAACAATATTCTGAATATGTCTTTAAGGGTGTTTCTGGCTTAGATTATATTTGAATCAGTAGGCTGAGTAAAGCAAATTGCCCTCCCTAATGTGGGTGGCCTTGTCCAACCAATTGAAGACCTTAACAGAACAAAACGACAGAGTAAGAAGGAACTCCTCCCGCCTGGCTGTTGAGCTAAGTCATCAGTCTTCCTACCTTTGGATTCAAACCTTTGGCTCTTCTTGGGTCTTGAGGCTGCTGGCTTTCAGACTGAAATTTACATCGTTGGCTCCCCTGGTTCTCAGGCCTTCAGACTTGGATGTGAACTACCCCATTGGCTCTCTTTAAGTCTCCAACTTGCTGGCTGCAAAACGTGGGAGTTCTCAGCCTCCATAATTACGTGACCCAATTCCTTATAATAAATCTTTTGTGTGTATGCGTGTGTACACACACACACATGCGCACACACATCCTACTGGCTGTTTCTCTGGAGAACCCTAATACAGGTGAGCTGATAAATCAGCTCCCTGGCCAGAAGAGTATGTCTGATGTATTTTTAATATTTTATACAAGGCAAGTAATTACAACAGTCATGAATACTTTTTTCTTTTCGACAATATTCATACTTATGTCATAGCCATGAGGCAAGATTCTCTGCACCATATGAACAAAATACAGGATATAGAAAGGGAGGAAGGCAGTGGGGAAGAGTGGAAGGCACAGACTGGGAGATGGGACTCCATATTTTACAAAACATTTTCATACATTTGGCTCTCATTTCATAGTCTGAACTGTGAGGCTGAGCTGTTAGGTGCCTTCAGTTTCATCGTACAGATATTAGAATTGGTTCAGAGAGATTAAGTGACTTACCCATGACAAAATAATAAAGACAGGACTTGAACTCAAAACTTTTGACTCAAAATTATTTGCTCTGATATATAATTCTAAAGTCAGGAAATACTGATTATGAAGTCATGTGGCTTCCAGATTTTCTAGGAAAAATACCTGGAATCTGGGATCAATCAGATCTGTGTCACGGTTTCTTTCACTGACCTATTCTTTGAACCACTGGAACCTGAAGTCAATTGATCCTATCATGTTTTCACTGTCCCAATGCCCTGTCCTCCTTTCTTTTATGCAGATTAGATTTCATAGTACATCATTTAAAACAATCCCTTACACACACTCAATTCCCTCATCCGTTTCTTTCTTCAACATAACCTAGAGTGTTTCCCATTAAACTTAAGACTACTAAACTCAAGTGGATCCTCAGGACTACCTAGTAATTATACTCATCTCCCTAGTCCAGTCATCCTCAAACTCTTTAGTGCATTAGAATAACCCAGAGGGCTTCTTAAAACAGACTGTTTGCCCTTACCTCGTTTCTGATTCAGCAGGTCTGGGATGAGGCCCAAGAATTTGCATTTCTAACACTTTCTGATGGTATTGGTGCTGCTTGTCCAGGCATCACAGTTTGCTCAAATCCACTCACTTTCCCTGTCCTAATTGAACATCTCTCCAAATCTCCAATTCCTTCTGCTCCATTCTCACTCTCACTGAGGAAATAGAAGCAATCAGAAGATCATTTCCACATGCTCCCAATGTCACTCACTTCCACCTACTTAACTCTCTGACACTGCTTTCTGTCCCATCTGCAAAATCCTCCTTGCTCTTCCTCAAATACAACATTGCCCCCACTTCAGAAATTTTGCACTGGCTACTTGGATGCTCTTCTCCCCAGATACTTGCATGATTTGCTCCTTCATTTCCTTCAGATCTGCTTAAGTGGCCTCTTCTCAGAGAGGCCTTCCCAGACCACCCTACAAACCTCCCACATGTGCCCGGCACTCCCTATCCTCCCAGTTTGAGTTACTTTTCTCCATGGCATTTATTACCACCTGATAGTTTACTTAGTTGTCTAATTATTATCTATGCTGAGACTATGATTGGAAGAGAGAGCACCCCCCAAATTCTCTGAGATTAGAGTTAGTGATAAGAGAATGGGCAGCACTGTAATCCATTTATCTAAAAATTTGGCTGATAAAGGAGAGATATCGGAACAAGGAGCAGCAGGTTCAAGCAGGGGTTTCTCAGGATGCAAAAGCAGGGCTAAAGGAACAGGGGCCAGGACCAGCCCAACGAGCATGTTTAAGGATGTTGTGAATTGAAAAGATGTATGAGAGACAAGGTTGTTTAGGTATCTGGAAATTACAGGTTCACAGAGCACACAATTTTTGCTTTTGTTTTCAAAGCAGGTATCTACTAAGAGTTTACCATATACTGGGCACTGTGGAAACAGTTCATACCCACTGTCACGCCTGATTTAGCTGATCTCCACAATGTCCTACTCCCTCGAAAGTAGGAATTATCATCTAGGCTTTTTGGCCCATAATCAGAGACATTCTACTGACAGATTTGTCCACCTAGAAAATAAAACACAGGTTTCTTCTCCTAAACAGTTTCATCATTCCTTTCTTCCTTACTTTAATTATAACTGACCCTACAAAATTGCCAACTTCAGGGTTTTATACAGTCAAATATCAGATCTCTGGAGCAAACTTTTGAGAAAAGGGCTGAATCACCTCTTTATCACCTCAGGTGGTAATCACACAGGTAATCAATTGCTTATGCTCACAGAGTCCAGAACAGGAACCGACCTCTGATGACTGGCTCCACAGTGTCTTTACCAATTCACCCTCAGCTGAAGCCTGAGAGCTATACTAAATACTTATTCATCACAGCTACTGCTCCACACAATTTATTCCCATTCTTCTTAGTGGCCCAATTTTACCCTCAGCCCCTCCACTTTCAGCAGAAAGCCTTCATTCACCAAAACCATGGAGGGTACCCAATAGAAAACGGGTTTCAGCCTCCCTTCACACCACTTTCAACTTCCATCTTATTCTCAGGAGTGTTCTTTTCCTCTTTCTCATCAGTATTCCAGCAAATGGTGATAACTGTAAGGCTTCCTTTCCAACACCAGTATCCCTTTTTGTTGCCTTACCTTACTGCACTGACTGGGACTTCCAAAACAATGGTGACAACAGATATCCTTATCTGTTCCTGACAATTGCAGGCCTTCAGTATTTTCCTCATTTGAGTGCTTTCAGTTTTCCCATTAAGAACGGGCCTGGCTTCTCACAACATTGCTTATTTTAAATGTCTCAAGGATAGAACATTCACAAGGAGTCAGTTCCAGGCTCATCCAAAACTTCTTCTCTATGATAAAGCTTATCCATACTCTATTCTGCTAATGCACACAGAGAAGACATTAGACATTCCAACATTATCTTCTTTTTCTACCATATAGTAATCTTTCTACGCATTTTAATCACAAGTCAGCATTTGTTGAAATGTTTATTTTAGTGTCTTCTTTATCACCAAGTAATCTTCTATGTTGACTATAAATGCAGGCTATGTATGTTCTGTTCATAAAAGTACAATATAGGTGAATGGCCTATAAAGATAGAAAGATTTTTAAATTGAACCATACAGTTTAACTAGTGGCCAGCAGGGCCAAATAATCTTATACAAATCTTATTAGAAAGAAAAAAAAAGACAATCAGCTTTATGGCACAAACCAGCCAACAGAAAACCGATTTCAAAAACGATTCTCAAATGTTTAATAATGTATGTTTTTACGACATGACTTTCAGCTGTTGTTTTACCTTCTGGCGAGACTGAATCTGATTTAACCAGTCTTACTTATGGCATTGTACATATGCAGGGAGCAACTGCAATCTATTGAAGCGAAGCAGTGTGTGCAAAAAGGCTCAATTAAATGGTGGAATGTTTCTTGTAAATTAAAGCCCTATTGAATAATCATCTTCCATGCAAATTATCTTTCATGGGGTGTTCCAACAAGGTGCCATCATCATATGTAGCCACTATCATACACGTTTACTTGTAATGCTTGACATAATGAATTCTCCTTCTTTCTTCCCATAGAAATGAGAACAAAAATTTTAAAACTTTTTAATTTTTCCTTGTTAGGCTGCCTTTGTGAATACACCAGTAGGGAGACACGATTTCTTCGTAACCTGTATTGCAGAAGAATGATTTAACTAGATGCACATTAGTACATTTATCAGAAACAACAGTTTAAATGAATTTCGGATGGAAAAATACCATGTATTCTCTCCTCCTTCAAAAAAGTAAATATTCCCTGGAAGCCCATAAGCTCACTCACCTAATTCTTATCGCAAACTTTTAAGATTTCTGTCTTAGACAGGATAAAGTAATATGCTAAAATGTAATTACACAAAACAGAGATTGTTAGAAGAATGCATTGGAGGGAGAGGGGGGTCCACACTTAATTTCTAAAATATAAATTCCTAAAATTTATAACAAATTAAATGTTGTATGTGCAGATGTGCATTTTCTGAGAATCCAAAGTTTTTATCTGATTCTCACAGGGGTCAAAGCCCACAAAAGATTAAGAATTACCAATTAAAGTCAAAAGATACAATATCTCAGAGTTATACTTTGATCTTACAGGTACAGAAAATCTGATCGATGTTCTAGTCAATATAAATTTAGTTCCCTTGTTGCTAACCCCGCTTATTTATCACACTGAACAAAAGTTCCTACTCAAAAAAATCAAACTGAAACATTCAATCATAGTCATTTCTTAAAACCTATAGATTCCACACATCCTTCCTCAGCATTCCTGATTAATTATGCACATATGATGCATCAACCTAAACCCTAAAAGAATAACTGACAAGGGTGTTAAGGGGAATGTGAGTCATATGCTGCTCTTTGGACCAGAGCCTGGTATATGAGCAGAGAGCTGGGAAAAACAGGCTAATTCAGTGTCACAATTTCATGTTTCATGAAGGTCTCTATAAACATATGGCTTCCTTCCCCCATCCCTAAATGCTTCTAGAAGTCCTTGGCTTAACTATTAACTAAATCATAAATACTGAATTGCATTTTTTAAAATGTTCTCAGAGGTCTTTGCAGTCACTTTACTTTAATGGAGTAGGAAAAGTCCAAGGGACTTTCAGGTTCAATTAAATACCACAACTGCTACAACAGCCATGTACTACAAAGCATATAAGTACCTGAGATTGTTAGGAACTTGCTACCCAAACTGCCACACTTCGACTTAATAAGCACAATCCCCAGGTTCTATTCAGAATTAATGTGCCCACAGAAACCCTAAGTTACAACCCACGATTCTGCAAGGAAGGCAGAAACTTTCTTATAAAGCTAGTGTGGTGGAAACACTGCTGACTATATCTGCATTTACCCAGCTTTGTTGAAAAACAAAACAAAACAAAAAAAAGCAACAGCTTGAAAAAGTGTAACTTCCGAAGACTTCCTACTGAAAACAAAATCAACGCTGTGAAAAAATTTCAG